TCTTATATCCGGGTTTGGTGTATTTTATATACATTAACACAGGCTCTAATTTGGGACCAGAGAAAATCTCTCTTATCCGGGTTTCTCTTTATATCCGGGTTTGGTGTATTTTATATACATTAACACGGGCTCTAATTTAGGACCAGAGAAAATCTCTCTTATATCCGGGTTTCTCTTATATCCGGGTTTGGTGTATTTTATATACATTCACAGGCTCTAATTTGGGACCAGAGAAAATCTCTCTTATATCCGGGTTTCTCATATCCGGGTTACACTGTATTAAAAAAAGTGGTAATAATGAAAGCAAAACCTCCAATAATTCGGTATACCTAAGATTTAAATGAATTTTTATAAATGAAAAATCTTTCTTGAAGCTTTCATATTAGCTTTAATTGAAAGCTAAAGGATTAAATTTTATAATTCCAGAGAGCAAAATACTGTGTGTATTTCAAATAAAAATTATAATAATTTTTAGTTAATTTATCTTTCAGGAAAACAACTCGAAACAGCCATTTTGCCATATTTGTAAACAAATTTAATTCTCAGTTTTAAAAATCTTGCAAAAATAATAATAAATATTTCTGAAACGTTATTTGCAGAAAATTAGCAAATTTAAAGTGAAATTAATCCATTCCGAAACAAATATTACTTACTTATAGCATAAAATGTTGTATGCAAGCATTTCTTAACTATGTGGTCTTGTTATTCTCCTGTCTCCATCAATATATTGACGGTCTAAGGCAGTGGTTTTCAACCTTTTTGCTGGAGCGGAACCACAAGGAAACATTCCAGTGGCTCGATGAACCCCTCCAATAAATTAATTGTCTTATGCAAAAAAAAAAAAAAAGCTTTCAATTATTAAAATTTAGAAATAATGTCACGTATGAAACACTATACTTTTTAAAAAAAGTGCATTTAGACAAAAAAAAAAAATTTTTAATTATTTAAAAAAATTTTGATGGGATGATTCGTATTAAGATTTTCAATTTTCACTTAGTAAATTTAATCTTCACTTAATGACTTAATAACCTAAGTTTGATGACGTTTGGAAGAATTTTCAAACCGTTATAAATTATTATAATTAAAAAATGAAAAATGGAAACAATTCTTGTAAAAATTCATTATTCATTGAATTTTTCTTTCTTCAGACTATAATTTCCTTAATATATATTATTTGCAAAAGCAGTTAAAAACATATCTAGTTAGATAATTAGATAGTCTTATTGCAATTTTTTATTTTATAATTTGAAGCAGATTTCGGAGAATTTGGTAAAAAATTTGAAAAGAAAAAAATGATGACTTACATTCTCCAAGTAGTCCTGCTTTTAACTAATAAAAAATATTTGGTTGACGATTTTCATGAAATTAAGTTGATGGGTTTTAACAGATGTTGAAGAAAAATATATTTTTACCAAAATTTTCAAAAATAATTTAAAAAATAAATTCATTCATTTGTGATTCAGTCCTGTAAGATTCATTAAAATCCAACAATTATTTGATTTTTGCAAGACCTTCCAAATTAGTGTGTTATTTTACCAGAAAACAGAGACGAAAACGTTCATTACCAGCTCTGTTACGCCGCTGACGCATAAAAAAAAAAAAAAAAAAAAATTTTTAACAAAAATTTCGAATGTTTTAGAAAGAAGTAAGAAATTTTAAAGAATAATTAAAAATACTTTGTTCTTTCCTCTTAATAATAACATAAACATTTTGACGATAAAACATTGTTTTTTATTAAATTTGGGGCCTTTTTTCGTCATGGTATATTCTGTTTTCAGCGAATTATTGGCGATACCTTTAAACTTTAAGAGTTTTAAAAATGGTTTCTGTTTCCGATTTTACATACGCTCTTTTTGCTTGTATATAATAATAATAATAATAATGTCTGTCACATAAAATACTTGATCGGCTCTGACTAGCTTAGACCAGCTATGATCAGCTACGGCCAGCTTGGACCAGCGGCCCGAGTGAAAACACTCGGGTCCCCACGTTAAAAAATGACCTTGTGTTACAACCTGACTCAGTGTGGTGGTGGTGGTGGTGGTTGGGGGGGGGCTGGTCAAGTAAATCTTACTTATTATAAAACGCAGATTGTGTGTGTCTGTACGTTTATATATTGGATCGAATTTCCTATATTTTTCAACCGATTTCAACAAAACTTCACAGGACTACGTAAAATTACCTTGCGGTGGTTCTGACAGCGCCCAAAATGGGAAAAACACAGTTATTTTTGCACGAAATCAATTTGAAAACACTTAAAACACGATTCTGTCGCCAGAATGAAAGGGGGACAACTCATATCGAGTTATACTTATTATAAAACCCAGGTTGTTTGTGTGTGTGTTCGTTTATATATGGGATCGGATTTCCTACATTTTTCAATCGATTTCAACAAAACTTTTTTTTTTTTTGGCAGGTAGTGTTTCTTATTGTCTTGCACACTTTTTTTTTATTTTTACATTCAGAATGCTTTAAAAAATTCCATTTACAAGACAATTGTTTATAATAAAATTCTATTCAATCGGTAGACTCATAACGATTGAAAACAATGTTTTTGTTTGAGTTTGGGTTTGACCAATTCGTAAAAAAAACAAAAAACAAAAAAAAAAAACTAATTAAGACATTCGTGTCCGTCAACCTTAAACAATAATCTTTGTCAATTTTATTTTTCAGTCTTTATGATGGTCGATACTTGATCTATCTCTTACTGTTATATCCCCGGGCAACGCTGGGCTCTACTGCTAGTCTCTACTAAGTATGCTTAATTAAATTACTGGTGGGGATAATTTATTTTTGAAAGCTTTATCAAGACCAAATGCCCAGGGTAACTGATGAAAAGTGTTTTGTTTCATCAGGACAGTGCTCCAACACTTAAGTGCTTGGTTTCAATGGCTTCTCCACTTTCTGCTTTTTATACTGTCTACTTGTTTCATGTGAAAACTTGTCAGATTGGTTGACTACAATTATTTTAGCCAGAGATGGCCAGAAGTGAATGCGTGGAGCCACTGTTTCGGAGACGCATTTTGTCATTTGAGCTGATTACTTCAGAGTCCAGCAAATGTATGACAGGCTGCTTTGCGTGACTGTCGCTTTAAACTGGTTGATCACCGTCCCTATTCTCCTCATTTGACTATCATCTGTTCCCCAACATGAAAAAAAAAAAAAACACTTAACAGGGAAGCACTATTATGATGACGTTATATCTGCTTTTGATTTCATTTCGTTATATGGGAATAAAGTGTCGCTGCCGGCACTTGAGTTTGAACATAGATCGCCAGTGAGCAACACAGGCGATCCCATTATTGAATTAATTGGACCACGTAGAGGAAACGCATATATGTAAGAAGTAGCTGATGACTAACGATCTCTTTTTCTAGTCTATACTGATCACTACACTGATCACTGTTCCGCTTCTCTACCCTGTTTAAAACGGATCGCTATTCTATTCACTATACTCTATTCAGATCCGGGTTACTTGTCGAAGAGTATTTTTGTAGAGGACCGTACGTCGGAGTTACCATTATATAGGGTTTCGTGTCGGCGATGTTGTTGAGTAGACGTAGAAGAACACATGTGGGTTAAGATTTTCCTGCTAGCCGGTCCAACTACATGAGAAAGTTGGACTTTAATTAAGTCCAAAGAAGGCAAAGAAAAAACAAACACAAGACCAATAAATATATATGTAAACAAATATATGTATTAATAACAAGAAAGGTTACAAGTTAAATGGACAGATACATGGGCAGAGTGCGTGTGGTGAATATTATGTGCCTGTGTTGTGTTGTGGTGAGTGTTCGTACGTACGTGTATTGTGCTTAGCGTGTTCCTAGAATTTGGGAAACGCTGTATCTGTGAGCGTTCACATCTGCGAGGTGGTAAGGCCCAAAGCCCGAGGAAAAAGAGGAAGAGGCGAAGGGTCAGCGACTATTTATACCCAGGGAAGAGAGACCCCTGATGAAAAGGTTAACGAACTAAAGGAAGAGCTAACTCCGACATTTTCGAGCAAGTCTATTAGTGCGAGTAATATTCGAAGTCGTCTGATACCAGTATTGTTCAACGGCGTTACTATAGTTGTATCGGCGATTACAAAGTCTTTACTGCAACGAGCATTACGAAAGTGACAATGGGTATTCGTTGGCATTACAAAAAATGGCAACGAGCGTTCGTTGACATCCCAAAACATTTTTGACCACTCGGGTGTCAGTTTACCTGGAAATAAACAATGCAGTTATTAATAAGAAGAGTTGAAATTAATGCATGCAAGATTTCACAGCTCAAGCATCACTCCTTCATAGTCAGCCTATGAACTTTTCAGCCCTCCCTTATACCAGGAAAGAAACAATGCAGTTATTAATAAGAAGAGTTGAAATTAATGCATGCAAGATTTCACAACTCTACCATCCCTCCTTCATAGTCGTTCATAGGAAGTTGGTTGTGTTTTGGTTGCCCACATCTCGTGGGTGGAGGTCGGAGCTACTATTTACTGTATTAGAACCAAGATGATACAATCTAAGGGGGCAACCCTACAAAATCGACGCATTGAGGAAGCACGGTACCCCAGATTTATTATCTGCGGACGACGTCTGGACGCTTAGCCAGCCCGAGGGCTGTTACCAGCGGGACCCTATGGGAAGAGGACCAACACTAAGCTCCCCGTTAGGAGAGTCATAGTTATTCCCGCCTATGAACTATAACCATTTTAGCCCACCCTCGTACTTAACAATTATATAGAAGGGAATTTCTAATTAAGTAAATTAATTGCTGTATTTCAAATACTTTCAAAGGTTGGATATGCTCTTCTCGCTTGTATATAATAGTAATAACTATGTGTGTCACATGAAATACTTTCTACTATTGATGCTTAATTAAATTACTGGTTAGGATAAATTATTTTTGAAAGATTTATCAAGACAAAATGCCCAGGAAAACTGATGAAAAGTGTCTTGTTTCATGCAGACAATGCTCCAGCACACAAGTGCATGGTTTCAATGGCTTCTTGAATGTCTCCTTCTTTTCTCTCCTCTCAGAGGTTCTCTCGTCTTTTCATACTGTCCGCTGGTTTTGAATGAGAACTCGTCCGATTGGTTGACTACAATTATTTTAACCAGAGAAAGCCAGAAGTGCATGTGTGGAGCCGCTGACTCAGAGATGCATTTTTTCATTTAAGCTGTTAACTTTGGAGTTCAGCAATGTTAGATTTCTGTGTGTGACTCTGGCTTTGAACTGGTTGATCACCTTCCCTGTTCTCTTGATTTGACTATCATCTGTTCCCCAACATGAAAAAAAAAACACTTGACAGGGAACCAATATTACAGTTATGATGATGTCATATCTGCTTTTGATAACTTTTCTGACCACTCAGATGTCAGTTTAAAAGGAAAAAAACAATGCAGTTATTAATAAGAGCTCCACTCAAAACATATTTTTATTTCTGCTGAGGTTATTCCCCTGGAAATACACATCTTAAATATTTAGTATTTACTCCCACACCAGGATGTAGGGTTATATTATATAACTGTGCTTACAGCATGACCTAAATATTTAAATATACTGCTTCCATAATGAACGTGCCCTTCCTTTAATTGTAGAGTGTTTGTTCTTAATACAAACTTTCTACTGTGTGCTGATTCACAAAACTGCCGGACAAGACCCAGATCTAGCTTAATGGCATAGTTAGGGTGTCATATGACACTGATCTAGCCTCATCTCTGTATAGGTCTACAAAACTACATTCAATACTTTTCTCAACTTGCGTAATTAAAAAAACTTATTCATTCACAAACTATTGTTACGATACTAAGCAACCAAACCCTCTAACCTTCCATACACCTGACATTTACGGCGAACCATCTCTCTTTCTTTCTCTCTCTAACAGTGACATTCTCTCTCTCTCTCTCTCTCTCTCTCTCTCACACACACACAGTGGCATCCCCTCTCTCTCTAACAGCGAAATCCCCCTCTCTCTCTCTAACAGTGACATTCTCTCTCTCTCTCTCTCTCAACTTGTTGAAGTCAGTAGTCGGATGATCAAATGAGGAGATAAACTACTGAGCCTAGAAACAGAATTAGGGGGAGATGTAAAAATATCATCTCACACACGTGATCTGATTTGAAACGTTGAGTGGGAAAAATATCGGAAAAGTCAGTTGGACAGCAGAGCTTGAGCGATCAACACCCTTTCTTTTGTTATCATCAACCAAAGGGGATTGCGTAATGAAGCCTAGTCGTAACTCTCTCTCTCTCTCACACACACACACAAACACACAATGCCGCATACAGACATATATTTGAAAGACCAAATAGTCCTAAACCAAATGCAATAGTGAATTACTCAACGTGTTAATCACCTAAGACAACTGCAAGTGCTATTCATCCAATTATTAAATTGGAGAAAGCAACGATCGATATAGCGATGAGTCTGTCGGAGTTAGCTCCTTCTTAGTTCCCTAATTATTCACTAGGGGTCACTCTCCCAACACTATAAATACTGGCTGACTTCTCGCCTCGTTCTCTTTTTCATTTCTTCATTTCAGCGAACACCTCTACAATGTGAGCTCTTGCAAAAGATAGCGTTTCCCACTTGTGGGAAGACGCCATAAACATTATACACACATACACGTAAGTACGAATATTCACTAAAGAACAAACACAAATGTTCACACACAAGCAAATGTTATTGTCTATGTCCATTGTAAAATTGTGTTGTTTAATACATATATTTGTTTATATATATATATATATATAAAAGATATTTTTATGTTTAACGTTCTTTTTTATAGATACAAGTATTTAAGTAAATGCTCTGTTTATAATAAACAGTATTAAATAACATTTACCGGCCTGAATGTCCGAGAAATTTTCATAGAAAATATTCGTCCTTTGACAGGATTCGAACCTGCATCCTATACGGAACCGTCATTTACGCTGACGTGCCTAACCTTTCGGCCACAAAGGAGCGTTCGGTAGGCAAGGTCGAATTTATTGCTTATAAACTTCAATCTTCCATGAATCTGGTACATTCATAATTGCTCTGGCGTATCAAATGTAAACAAATGACGTCATATATTAAGACATGGACAAAGGTTCGAATCCTGTCAAAGGACGAATATTTTCTATGAAAATTTCTCGGACATTCAGGCCGGTAAATGTTATTTACTTAAATACTTGTATCTATAAAAAGAACGTTAAACATAAAAATGTCTTTAATAAATAAATTGTCGGACTTTGTCCATTTCTTAATATATATATATATATATATATATATATATATATATATATATCGGTCTTGTTTGTTTTCTTTTCATCTTAGGTTGTGTTATAGAGTCGTTTCACAGTGGAGACTTGTATTTCACTAAGTCGGTCCTAAAAGGTTCGACGTACAAAACGTTAGGAACTTGATATAATAGTTAATGACGCAGCCATCTAGTTGTGGTGGCTGATACTTTAATGTCCGACATCGACTGACTGGCCAACTCACTGAGCGACTGGCGACTGCTGCTACTTCTACTTATTATAGGTGGGAGAGTCTATTAATGATAGAATTGGTATGTTCCAGTATAACAGGTTGGACACAACTAGAGTCCGCCATTTTATTGTAGTTGGACCTTCTTCTAGCAGGAATATACTGCATGTGTACCAATTAAACAACACTCCATCCCACACGGTCCTCTACAAGTCTTCCTAACTGAAAGGAATTTTATATTGTGGAAGATGTGAAAAGGAAACGACCATCACTTGGGGTCAAATCTTGCAACAGAGAAGAATGGGGAAACAGATTATAAAAGATATTCCTGCACATGGGAATACGTGACCAAAAGACTGAACTGAAAAAAAAAAGAAAAAAGAAAAGAGAAATATAAAAAGAGAGGGGGAGAGAGGAATGGGAAAAGTAAAAACTTGTTTTATTTCAGACAAATGAAAAGTTATGTGTTTAGATTTTCATATCACATACGTCACACATCTTTCCAAGCAGACATGATTCCCGTGTTGTTCTGTTATATAATTAAGTCTTATTCAATTTTATTCCAGTGTTGATCTTTTCCATGATAGCGACGTTGTCTGCGAGTGAACTGAACTGAGGCGACAAACCAGCCCTTCCATTTATATAAGTGGGCGACCTCTTTGAAGAAAGTCCACGCTATATCCGGTGTCTTCTAGAACAAAAGGGAACATTCTCCCACTTTCTTTTTTATTCGGGAAGCAATTCAAATAAAATGAATCTTTCTATTATGACATATTTCCACCAATCGTCTATGTCCACAAAGAAACACACTTGTGAAATAGAAAGGAATAAAACAAAAATAAACAAACATGTCTAAATTATTTAACCAAACATGTTTGAATATATATATATATATATATATATATATATATATATATATATATATATATATATATATTTTATTAAAAAATGATTCCTTCGCTACATAAGAGTTCTCATGTTTTTTCAACAAGAGCTAAAAACCTCAATATAATTATTAAAATTAGATTGAATTAAAGTATCAAGTCCTGTTTCATTCTCGAGCGAAAATTTAGCTTGAGGATAAAACAGAGCTTGATACTTTAATTCAATTTAATTTTAATAATTATATTAAGGTTTTTGGCTCTTGTTTTTGAAACATGAGAACTCTTATGTAGCGAAGGAATCACATTTTTTTAAAGAAATAATTATAATTTAAGCTTTACTTCTGTATGAAGCACTGTTTTTTTTTTTAAATAAAAAAAACAAAAATACTAAAGAACTCTGGATTATTTGCCTAACGTGTTCTTTCCTATTTTTCTATATATTTACACACACACACACACACACACACATATCATTTGGTAATAATATGGTTAAAATGTTTGTGTGTGTGTGTTTGTGGCACGCGCGCATGTATGTGTGTGTGCATTAAAATCTTTCTATTAACGTTTTTGTTATTTTTATTCAGACAAGCTAGCTCGAACATTTAGAAGTCTGTCACGCCAGTCAGCGCAGTCCTACATCAAAGTTGGAAGTTCATGAGGGTGGCATCCTGGGTCATAATTTGCTGATTGATGTAATTGGGTGACCAACCTGTTTTGTTACATAGCTTGGTGTCCACACTTCAGACGAATATGCAACAACAGCTTGGACGGTCAGTGAATCTTCACTAACGATTATGTGTCGGTGACATCAAAACAAATCGCCTCCAACAACAACAATGACGGTCAGTGAATCTTCACTAAAGATAAAAGTGTCTTCCCAACTATGGCTTACTTCTGTGGACCAACTACTTAAACATCTTTTCTAAGCGATACATTTTTCTATCAACGAAATACCCAAAGACTTTAACTCAACTAAAAACTATTCTTGAATCTTGTGAATTCATGTACATATGTTTATAAATACAAATGATTTATTTAAACAGGCATAACTATGTTTTCTTCGTTTTTATTTTATTATTGTTTGGAATTCCGACGTTCGCATATTTACTATTAAAAAAAAAACCTAGATGACTGAATTTCCTACAAATTCACCCCAAGCAAGGCGATAATGCCACTAAGACGCAAGGGGCTACTGAAAATGAAAGTAAAGGAAGATACTCTTTAGAACTTATTAAAAGAAGAAAAAACAGTTTAAATTTATTTCTTTGCTAAAAAATTATTTCATTTGTTAAAAAATCCCAAGAGAATTTTTTGTCGATAGATTGACTAAAAAATTAATGAAGAAAATAATGATAAAAATAAAATGAATTCTCACTGCAGAAAGAAATCGGGAGAAATTATTTTGATCTACCGATCGTCTGTATTTTAAAACGAATGAAAGCGAATTCCTTTCATCAGTCCTTTCGTAAAAAGTTTTTAAAATTGTTTCTATTTCCAGTTTTAGAAAATGAATTTAGATTTAATTTAAATGAGCGTGTAATTTTTATTTTTATGAGAAATTAAATTGTAAAAAAAAACTTTTCTTTATAAAAATTGAATTCCTTTCTTTTATATATATATATATATATATATATATATATATTAATCAAAAAGTTTTATGTTGTGTTTTTCACTGTCTGTTAGATTAGACGGGACTGACTTTAGTTAACACCGGCTAAGCGCATTTCTCTCAAGTTCAAAAATGGCAGACGGTAAGAAAAAATGTGTTTTTTCTTTGTTATTTTATTTTCACGTTGAACAATTTAATTATTTATTTTTATTATTTTTTTTTAGGAAATAATAATGTTTACAGAGTTTGACCGCACGGTAAGTTTTTCTTTCTTTTTTTTTTTTTCAGTGAGTTTTTTTTATTTTTTAAAATATGCATTGTTTTTGACCTGCTCTCAGCTCTCCTGTTTTTTGTGTGTAGTTTTTATTTTCATTTTTCTGCCACTGTATATTGTCGTTTTTTCTTTCTTTCTTTCTGTATAGTGCAATCGCTAACATTTAAAAATAATTTATTCAAATTTGTTTTGAAATAACCTCAAGATGTCATAAGAAGAGAGTTAACAGAAATTGGAAAACGTTTAAAATGTTTTTTTTTTTTTTTTTTTTTTGCAATAGAATCCCTCATATCAGGACATGATTTCGATGTGTATATTTGAACTATTTGGGTGATAGGGAACTGATTTAAAATTTCTGTTTTTCGGGAAATTTACTTTGAGTAATTGCTTATGCTTTTCACCCCAATGGCTTGTATTGGTGGAAAAGAAGATAAGAGGAAAAGAACAAGTTTAGAGTTATCGCAAAAAGTGGAAATTTTAAACAGAATAGACGCTGGTGAAAGTTCATTGTGACTAATGGCTTGAGTTCAACATAGAAATGTCAATATTGTATGATATAAAATCTTTCAAAGAAACTATTCTCCAGCATTCACACTGTCACTATAAACAAGGAAATAAAAATTAAAAAAACATGATTGTGATGAAACCTAGACTGAAATTGAAGAAGCTATTGAAAAGGTCGTCAGTTTTATGGAAAGAAAGCCAGCATTCAGCTATGACGATTCCGATAACGCATGCAGAATTAATAAGTGTCTTTCATTTAAAAAATTTCAAGAACAGAAGTTGAGAATGACATTAGAAGAGAATCATGTGACAGCGATTAAAAAAAAATATCCTCATTACATTATTTGTTTTGCATACGTGGCAGACTTAATTTAATGAATTTTCATTAACATTTCAAAATTTATTTCTTTTTCCTTAAAATCAATTCTCTTATATTTCACTTACCATTAGCTTATTTTGTTTACTATAAAACATTGAAAATAAATGTTAAACCTGATTTCAGTTCTTTTATTTTAATCTAAATATAACCCCTCATATCCAGACTTTGTGACCAATTCCTCATATCTGGAAGGTCTTCTTAGTCCTGTTGTCAGGGATTCTACTGTATTTTTTTTTTTTTTTTAAATCACAACTGCCGTTTACCGGGTACTCTTAGAAAAAGCAGCAATAATGTAATTTTTTTTTTCAAGAGCATCAATGGCATTTTCAATGTAATCCAAATTCACAAACCAATGATATTAAGCCAGATATAAATCCACGGCAATTTGATGTAAAAAATGATAAAACTTTTAATCTTTCACTTCACATAAACGCTGCAAAGTAATCGTTGCTCGTATTAGTTGAAGCATTTAATTCCATATTTTGTAGGTAATGCCAAAATTCGAGCTAAAAAAAAAAGCCTTTAAAATGCTTTTATAATAATTGAAATGCCTCATTTTTAGTAAATTTTTTTTTTTTTTTTTTTTTTAATGATAGAATATTATCAATAAGCTAATCTGTATGAAAAGAAAAATTAAGTTTTGGATACAAATAAAGTTTTTAGACAACATTTTAAAAGCAACCACTTGTCACTCATCAAACAACCATCATAGATGAAAAACGGGAACAACAAATTTAAAAATATTTACACTATTTACATCATTCGAACTGTTGTCTTCATCTTTATTGAAATATAAATGATGTTTCGGCCATTGTACACTGGCCTTCTTCAGGTGATATACCCTGAAATTTCGAACTGCACTTTTTATTTAGTCCTTGGTGTGTAGATTGTTCTAATTCTACATGCCATGCCTTTTTTGGATATCTCAATTTCAGTTAATTCTCTTTAGTGACTTAACTCTCCAAGTTTTTGTTTCCTCTGCTGTGGCCAGGTATTGAACTTACAATTTTTGGGGTTAGGTCACTTTTTGGATTACTTCAACCAAAGCTTTTTATTCACACATGCATCCTTAAAAATCCAATCTTTGTCCTAGAGATGTGTTTCAAAATCAATTAGTAAATTTAAGGATTAATTACCTTGATTTTTTTTTTTTTTTTTTTTTTACAGAATATTATCAATAAGCTAATCTGTATGAAAAGAAAAATTAAGTTTTGGATACAAATAAAGTTTTTGGACAACATTTTCAAAACATCGACTCCCATTCATCGAAACAACCATTATAGATGAAAAATGTAAACAAATTTAAAAATATTTACACTATTTACATCATTCAGACTGTTATCCTCATCTTCTACATGACGATAGTCAATTGCCTGTCATTCATCACCTTGTGGTGAACACGATCGATGTTTTCCTCAGTGTTGGCAGTCGTCATCAAGACTCTCCCTTCCCCTCGTAAATTCAGTTTCCCACTTTTGCACTGTTGATAAAGATGGAGCATGATGCCCTAATGTAGCAACCATGTCCGCAGGGATATCCTTTGGAGTTAAGCCCCTTTTCTGCATGTTCTTCTTAAAACCATAATGCCAAATTTTGTCCATTTTTTCAAGACAAGTCGCTACTAGTTATTTTTGAAGTCTTCTTTGACCAGTGAAATGTCAGTTTCCCTGGAAAGAAACAATGTAGTCATTAATAAGAAGAGTTAAAATTAATGCATGCAAGATTTCGCAGCTCTTAGCATCACTCCTACATAATCAGCCTATGAACCTTTCAGCCCGACATTGTATGTTATGCTCTTAGCAGTTATATTGAAGGAAATCCCTAATTAAATAAATAGCTGAAGTTCATTTCAAATACTTAACAGAGGTTGGATACGCTATTTCCTCTTGCATATTATAATAATCATACTTATTATAAAACCTAGGTTGTGTGTGTGTGTGTGTGTGTCTGTTCGTTTATATATTGGATCGGATTCCTACAATTTTTAACTGATTTCAACAAAACTTCACAGGACTACATAAAATTACCTTGCGGTGGTTCTGACAGTACCAAAAATTGGAAAAAAACAATTGTTTTAGCACGAAATCAATTTGAAAACATGATTAAGAGGTCACTGTCAGGAGAATGAAAGGGGGACAACTCATATTGAGTTATACTTATAAAACCCAGGTTGTGTGTGTGTGTTTGTTTAAATATGGGATCAGATTTCCTACATTTTTCAACCGATTTCAACAAAACTTCACTTTTTTTTTTTTTTTTTAGCAGGTAGTGTTTCTTATTGTCTTGCACACTTTTTTCTTTATTTTTACATTCAGAATGCTTTAAAAATTCTATTTACAAGACAATTGTTTATAATAATTCTATTCAATTGGTAGACTCATAACGATTGAAAACAATGTTTTTGTTTGAGTTTGGGTTTGACCAATTCATAAAAAAACAAAAAAACAAAACTAATTAAGACGTGTGTTCATCAACCTTAAACAATAACCTTTGTCAATTTTATTTTTCAGTCTTTATGATAGTCGGTACTTGATCTATCTTTTACTGTTACATCCCCGGGCAGCGCCGGGCTCTCCTGCTAGTAATAATAATAACTATGTCCGTCACATGAAATACTTTCTGTTACTTATGCTTAACTAATTTACCAGTCAGGATAACTTGTTTTTGAAAGATTTATCAAGACATTTTTCATAAGTTTTCCTGGGCAAAATGCCCAGGGAAACTTATGAAAAACGTCTTGTTTCATCAGGTCAGTGCTCCAGCACACAAGTGCTTGGTTTCAATGGCTTTTTGCATGTCTCCTTTTCTTCCTTCTCAGAAACTCTCTCAGCTTTTTATACTGTTCACTGGTTTTGAGTTAGAACTCATCTGATTGGTTGGCTACAATTATTTTACCCAGAGAAAACCCAAAGTCGACATGTGTAGCCACTGGCAATGCATTTTGTCATTTGAGTTGTTTACTTCAGAATCCAGCAAATGTAACAGATATTACAAACTGCTGTGCTTAACTGTAGCTTTGAACAGGTTGATCACCCTTTCCTATTCTCCTGATTTGACTATCATCTGTTCCCCAACCTGAAAAAACAATTGACAGGGAATCACTATTACAGATATGAAGACATCATATCTGCTTTTAATGACTTTTCTGACCAATCAGATGTCAGTTTACCCGGAAATAAACAATGCAGTTATTAATAAGAAGAGTTGAAATTAATGCATGCAAGATTTCACAGCTCTGAGCATCTCTCCTTCATAGTCAGTCAATAACCTTTTTAGCCGACTCTCATAATTATGCTATTATCAGTTATATAGAAGGAAATTCGTAATTAATTAAATTAATGGCTGTATTTCAAATACTAATAAAGATTAAATATGCTCTTCTTGTCTGCATATAATAATGATAATCATAACAACTATGTCTGTTACATGAAATACTTTCTAATACTGATGGTTAATTAAATTACTGGTCAGGATAACTTATTTTTGAAAGATTTATTAAGAACAAATGCCCAGAAAAACTGATGAAAAGTGTCTTGTTTCACCAGGACAATGCTCCACCATACAAGTGCTTGGTTTCAGTGGCTTTTAGCATGACTCCTTCTTTTCTCCCCTCTGAGAGCTTTTCATACTGACCCCTGATTTTGAGTGACAACTTGTCCAATTGGTTGACCACAATTATTTTAACCAGAAAAAAAACAGAAGTGCATGTGTGGAGCTACCAACTCAGACACACATGTTGTCATTTAAGCTGTTTACTTTGGAATTCAGCAAATGTAAGAGGTATGTTAGACTTCTGTGTGTGACTGTGGCTTTGAACTGGTTGGTCACCTTCACTGTTCTCTTGATTTGACTATCATCTGTTCCCCAACATGAAAAAAAAAAACACTTGACAGGGAACCACTATTATAGTGATGATGACATATCTGCTTTTGATGAGATTCTTTGACCGACAGGAGGAACAGTTAAATGTCAGCTTACCTGGAAATTAACAATGCAGTTATTAATAAGAGTTGAAATTAATGCATGCAAGATTTCACAGCTTTGAGCATCACTCTTTCATAGTCAGTCAATAACCTTTTTAGCCGACTCTCATAATTATGCTATTATCAGTTATATAGAAGGAAATTCCTAATTAATCAAATTAATTGCTGTATTTCAAATACTTTCAAAGGTTGGATATGCTCTTCTCACTTGCATATAATAATAATAATAATAATAACTATGTTCGTTACATGAAATACTTTCTAATACTGATGGTTAATTAAATTACTGGTCAGGATAACTTATTTTTGAAAGATTTATCAAGACCAAATGCCCAGGAAAACTGATGAAAAGTGTCTTGTTTCATCAGGACAATGCTCCACCATACAAGTGCATGTCTCCTTCTTTTCTCCCCTCTGAGAGTCTCTCTCAGCTTTTCATACTGTCCACTGATTTTGAGTGAGAACTCATCCGATTGGTCGACCACAATTATTTTAACCAGATAAAACCAGAAGTGCATGTGTGGAGCCAGCAACTCAGAGACGCATTTTGTCATTTGAGCTGTTTACTTTGGAGTTCAGCAAATGTAACGGGTATGTCGGGCTGCTGTGCGTGACTGTGGCTTTGAACTGGTTGGTCACCCTTCCTATTCTTCTCGTTTGACTCTCATTTGTTCACCAACATGAAAAAAAACCACTTGACAGGGAATCACTATTACCGTTATAATGACGTCATATCTGCTTTTAAAGACTTTTCACTTTCAGCCATCTTAAGACATTTGTCTTCCTATTAGGTAACTGTTGTGACTTTATTAGAGGCCAGAAATAAAGACACAAAGAGAGGAATTGAGTTAATCAAACATATTAACAGAAACAGTTAATACAGACATATACAAATGAGTGTTACAGCAAGAATGTACAGTCCATCTTTCGGATGCTGACTCCTGGAAACTTTTCTCTCTAAAAGGCAGTACCTGCTCTTATTTATAGCTGGGAGAGTCTATACATGCATGGATAAATTACCATAAGAGTAACCTACTTAGAATTTTGAACTGAACCCTTTATTCAATACATACGGTAGATTGTTCTTTTCCCAATTTTCTGTGAGTGTATGAGTTAAATAAAAATGATAACTCACTCTCCTCTGTCTGCCACAGAGCTTGAGTGTACACAAATGGTTTGATGGTGTGCTCATCAAGTGGTGAGTCTTGAGCGTTTTAACTAGGCAGGGCCCACCACTCTCCAGGTTAGACCACAGCTGATGTCCTCCAGCTAGATGGCTCACCTTGGTCCTGAACATGTGGCTGTTGCAGTTCATCTGAGGAACCATTCCACCCTGGCTAGTGACCCTGTGTGGAGGAGTTGTTTCACCCAGTGGTGCCATCTTAGCACTGCCCTCTCATATAAGTTTAGCCATCATGTGAAAGGAAATGGTTGAAGACCAGTGATGCCTGTTCACTTGAAGGTGCAGCGTGCCAGACATCAAAGGTACTACTTCTATCCAGAGCCCCCTATGTTCACACACACACACACACACACACACACATATATATATCACACTGGATGTCAAAGTGAGCAGTTAGTCATCAAATGTACCACTTTAAGAAATATGATATAGATTTTAAATGGTAATAATAGAAATCAATAAATAAATAAGAAAAGAATAAAAGTATAAAGTTATCACCAAAGATATGAGAAAATTGTATTTTTTTTTTTATTAATAATTTTGATTTTATTTGTTAGAAATGGATCATTCTGAAGCAATAAAAAAAATTATATGCTATGATAGGATATATAAAAAAAAAGTAATGATAATTTATCCATAGCTTTTGTGAGAGATAGATTTTTATACTAAAGTTTCCATGATAGTTCAAATAAGATCCAAAGGGCTACCCATAGCTATCCTGTCTATTTGCCTTATTGTTAAAACTAAATTCTACAGATATGGTGGCAAATAGCTTTTGAATAAATAATCAATCACCATAAATAAATTTTTCTGCCTGTTCTCTGCTTCGTACCCATGAACAACCTGATTCTCGCACCATCATACAAAGTTACGTACCTGAACACAAAGCAAAGGCAAACCACACACCATTGGTGAAACAGTCGTAAAACAAGCTGTGTTGAAGATGGTGAAAAGCTTCTGAAGATAAGTTAACCCAAATTCTTCTTTCAAATGACACTATCGGCAGCAGAATAGATGACATGAGAGATGACATCTTGGCTCAAATAGTTGCAGATCTGTTTTCAAGCCCAGCAAAATTCAGCCTCCAATTCAACAACATCACCAACATTTTCCATTTGAAAAATGTTCATGCAACAGACTAAATGATCTGACAAAAAATAATATTTAAAACAAAATTAAGAGTTTGTTGGTCACCAAAGGGACGTATGGTTGCATACTTTCAAAATTAGATGAAGGGAGATAGTGTGAAATATTTGACATTTTGATATGGGAGAAAATTCTTTCAAGTGCTGCGTGCTTGGTTAAAGGCTGCTAATATAATCGGCAAATAATTGTACACTGGCAAGAACTTCAATACTGCAAGCAGTGAACAGAAATGAGACATTTCATATGACTTCAGACCCACTTCTCTTATCAATTTAATTTTTCCATTCCTTTTATCCATAGCTTTGTGGGAGATTTTTTTTATATACTGAAGTTCGCATATAGTTCGCATAAGATCCAAAGCAATCCTGTCTATTTTCCATATTGTTAAAACTAAATTCCACAGACATGGTGGCAAATAGTTTTTAAATAAATAATCACTGTAACTATAGAGGTCTTTTTAAAATATTGCTAAAGAGTGAAGGTCGTTTAAAAAAACAGTGTAATGAAAAAAGCCATAGTTTTGAGACAACATCTTATTGCAGGCATTTTTATCCATATTTGCCCAAATATTGAAATATTTGTATAGTCTTCCTATAACAGGATTTTTCCACAGACTTTTTGTGTCTTTTGTACAACCATTAATTTATTTGAATGAAATAGAAAAGTAAACTTTTCTTTTTAAATTTCAGCTTTGACAAATGTAACCCGAAAACACTCAAGAACTCTTGCAAAGGTCAGGATTTGTCTTCGAGGAAGACGTGTGGGCAGGTATTTGCTATAAAATGGATACCCATGATGCATATTCACAAACACACATAGTAAACACCACAGGCATATGTCATATCTGCAACAAACAATTTACCTGTTATTCATCCCTGGCCACACATGTACGTACTCACACAGGCGGGAAACCATTCCAATGTAATTCATGTGGGAGGACCTTTTCCCAAAGGTCATTGTTGATGAACCACATCTTGACACATCCAAGAGAGAAAACACTAAAACCCTACCACTGCGAAATCTGTGGGAAAAACTTTCAGCTCAGAAGCAACATGTTAAGCCACTTGCGTACACACACAGGAGAGAAACCATTCCATTGCGGTGCCTGCGGCAAGGGTTTCTCACAGAAAGGGAACCTATTGACACATAGCCATACTCACACGGGACTAAAGCCATTCCATTGTGAAACCTGTGGCAAAGATTTTTCACAAAAGGGAGGCCTGTTGACTCATAAACGCACTCACACAGGTGAGAAACCTTTCCACTGTGATTTATGCGGGAAGGCCTTTTCCCAAAGGACGTCATTGATGAACCATATGCAAACCCACATACAAGAACGGAATCACTGAAACCCTACCACTGTGAAAAGTACTTTTATGACCGAGGCAAACTGCTAAACTACATGCATGCACACAGAGGATTAAAAACATTCCATTGTGATGCCTGCAGTAAGGGCTCCTCGCAAAAAAGAAGCCCTGTTTTGTAGATTAACTTTCATTAGAACTTTAAGTCACAAGTTGTTGCAGTAAAAATATATTGATTATTTTTTTTTTATCTTTTAAAGATTTTAGAAGTGGTTTCCTGTTCATAATATCGATACAGTGAAAAATGGAATTTTACACTATTATCTGGACCTAGCTGTTCTGTGTATGAAGTCTCATATGTTGGTGGAATATAAAAAGATCTTTTTAAAAACAAAGAACAAATGAATATGTACATTTTAAATAAAGGACAATATAAATTAAATGAAAGTATTTCTCTGTTTATCATTCGTTTAAGATAAATAATTATTATCCCCCCAGTGAAAAAAATCGCCAACAAAAAAGTTTTTGAATTATTTACATTATTCGGACTATTGTCCTTATCTTTGTCGCATTATTTATCACAACGTTTCAGCCGTTGTACTCTCCGGCTTTCTTCAGGTGGTTGGGATTTCAAAATTCCAACCACCTGAAGAAGGCCGGAGCGTACAACTTTGTGATAAATATGGTGACAAAGATGAGGAGAATAGTCCGAATAATGTAAATAATGTACATAATACCTCATCTCAGAGATATAGACAGACTCTGAAGTTTTTAAATGTTTCAGAAATTCATGAAATTAAAAAAATTCAGATATCAATTATGTAAGCACAACTTCAAACATGACATTTATAAATAACATCAAAGTCCAATAACTCTGTAAAACTCAGGGTTCGATTTGTGATTACATATATATTATGAACAGGACCCCACCATCTAAATTACTTAAAAAAAAAAAACAATATTTTTTTTGGATTCTGATATGTTATGGACTGTAAACGTTCTGATGTACAAAAATTATTCCCTGAAAAAATTTTTATGAGTGAAACAGTCAATTTTGTAAGCGTATTCCAGAGAGTAATCATTTATCATCGATTAACATACCTTCCTCTAGCCACACGATTTATCAAAAATTAAAAATACTGGCTATTTTTTTTTTTTTTTTTTTTTATTACCATTTTAGGAGTATCCTGTTCATAATATTGACAGTGTCAAGTCAAATTGATCCCTGATTTTTACAGAACAGACAGTTCCACTCCTTAAAAAGAAAAAAATAGGAAAAATTAAATAAATTCTAAAATAGACTGGTCCATTCATAAAAATAATGAAAAGTTTTTCAGGAAAATAACTTTTGTTGATTGGCATTCATAGGAATTTTCTCACATTTGTCAGAATCAAAAAAATATTGATTTCTTATCAATTTAGATGATGGGCTACAGTTAGAAATCAATCCTGGACTTTTACAGAGTTATTGGACATAATTGTTAGTTACAAATCCAAAGTTTGAATTTGTCCTGACATCTGCATTTTTTTTTTTTTTTTTTTTTAAATTTCTGAAACATTTTTGCGAGCATGAACTTTTTCATGTACATTGGGGGATAATAATTATTTATTTCAAATAAATAATAAAAAGAGACAAACTTTTGTTAATTTATGCAAATTTTTGTTCTTTAATTAACAATGTATATATTCATTTTGTTCTTTATTTAAAAAGAGATCCTTGTGCATAAGATAAATTCTGGTTTCATACACAGAACGGCTAAATCCAGATGACTCTGTAAAAAAAATCAGGGATCAGTTTCGCAATCTATCAATATTACGAACAGGAAACTACTTCTAAAATGATTTTTAAAAAAAAAAATCAGTATTTGACAATTCTGGCAAATGTTGCATCCTAAAGACTAAAGTAGGAATGTTTACAAAAATTCCCATACATTCACCTAAGTTAAGCTACAGTTACAAATCAATTCCAGAGTTTTACAGAGTTATTGGACATAATTGTTAGTTACAAATCCCAAATCTGAAACTGTCCTTACATCAGTGATTTCTGCAATTTTTGTTTATTTGTCTGAATTTCTGAACATTTTGGGGGGGAGGAGAATGAACTTTGTTATTTACATTTGGTGATAATAATTTTTTATCTTAAAATAATAAACGGAGACATACTTTTGTTAATTTACGCAAATTTTTATTCTTTAATTAAAAATGTATATATTCATTTTGTTCTTTATTTAAAAGAAATCAAGAGAAATTCTGGTTTCATACACAGAACAGCTAAATCCAGATGATTCTGTAAAATCAATTTTTGTACTCGATCAACATTATGAATAGGAAATTCCTTCTAAAAGGATTTTAAAATTTCAGTATATTTTTCAATTCTGGTAAGTGTTGCAGCCTAAGGAAAGACTAAGATAGTCTACAAATATTCTTTCAAAAACAATTTCCCTATTTTTTACTCATGGACCACTCTATTTAAATAGTGCCATACTATAATGGTAGGTGATGCTGATATTATAGAAATGTCTAAACCTATATCCGTTGTCTTCTGACACCTGGTAAGTTAAAGGCTTACAGCCACATTGCATTGAAACTTTTTTTCCAATACGCTCACCCATGTTAAGCAACATCAAGCCTGGCCAGCGCCTAGAGAAGTGACTGCCTGGGAATATCAGGATCGGTAAGCCTGGATTTATGGGTGGTGTAATTGATAACACCTTGAAATTGTTAATTGGAGAGCCAAGTTGTAATTTCCATTGGATTTGTTATATTCCCTTACAAGCAAATACCCTTGGGGAAAAATATGAATCCACTTTTTCTCGCCCCAGCTATGGGTTTATTAGTAAGACTTGCAACATTAACCCATTATTGTTTCAAAAATAAATTCTTATGATCTAAAAATATTTTCTGGCTTTAAATAACCTGCAACGGGTTGATAAACCATAGAAAATGAATCAATAAAAACCTGGTGAGTTAGTGTCAATGTCAGCTCAGTTTTTGTGTTCATGGCAAGGTAATGTGAATTATTGAAGTGACATTGCGTTGTGACCATTGATATCCATTTATGGGTTACATGCATCCCAACAATGAGGAATTATTCTCGCAAGATAAGGCATCATGTCATCAAGCTCAACTAGCCTGGAATTGGTTTAAGGAACATTCTAGAGATTTCTAACTAAAGGTGGGGTCACCACATTTGTCTGTCAGTGAATATTTCTAAAAAGTACTTGTCATGGCTGATCAATAGGTAAAAACTGAAAACTAAATTAATCTTAAAATGTCTTTATTGTTACCAATTAAAATTGATTCTTCTTTTCGCCTGAAGCATTTGACGTCAAAAGAACAAATTGGGCAGGAACACTTCTGTATCGATAGAAAACTGTTTTTTTTTTTTAAAGATAGAGATGGAATCAATGATATGTCAAATTGCTACATGTCATCAGAATTAAAGCGGTTACTACAAGATAATAGTTGTATTATGAATTTTGTCATGTCAGTGTATATTTAAAAAATAATACTTGTTGTAGGTGATAAATAGATAAAAACTGAAAATTAAATTAATCTTAAAATGTCTTTTTTTCTCTCCCCACCTATGGGTTAATTAGTAAAACTTGTAACATTAACCCATAATTGTCTCAGAAATAAATTCTTATGATCCAAAAATATTTTCTGGCTGCAAATAGCCTGCAACGGGTTGATAAGCCATAAAAAATGGATCAATAAAAACCTGGTGCGTTAGTGTTAACATCAGCTCAGCTGTTCCTGTTCATGGCAAGGTACTGTGAATTATTGAAGTTACATTGTGTTGCGACCATTGGCATCCATTCATGGACTACATGCACCCCAACAATGAGGAATTGCAAGATAATGCATCGTCATCAAACTCAAGTAGCCTGGAATTGGTTTGAGATAAATTCTAGAGATTTCTAACTAAAGGTAGGGTCACCACATTTGTCCGTCAGTGTATATTTTTAAAAAGTACTTGTCTTGGGTGATCAATTTAAAAAAAAAACTGAAAATTAAATTAGTCTTAAAATGTCTTTATTGTTACCAATTAAAAACATTTGACGTCAAAAGACCAAATTGGGCAAGAACACTTCTGTATGAATAGAAAACTGTTTTTTTAAGATACAGATGAAAACAATGATATGTCAAATTGCTACTTGTCACCAGAATTAAAGGGGTTACTACAAGATACTAGGTACGTGTATTATGACTTTTGTCATGTCAGTGTATATTTAAAAAATAATACTTATTGTAGGTGATAAATAGATAAAAACTGAAAATTAAATTAACCTTCAAATGTCTTATTTTTACAAATTAAAATTAATTCTTCAGACCGTCCTCATCTTTGTTGCCGTATTTATTACAACGTTTCAGCCCCTGTACTCTCCGGCCTTCTTCAGGTGGTTGGAATGTTGAACTGAAGCCTTTATTTTGCTCTCTGGGGTAGACTGTTC